GGAAGCAAAAATCATTTCTGCCAAGTGGCAAGGGACAGAACTGGCCAGGGGCAAGAAATGGTTTCCATATTTCTATAAAAGAATTTGAAAGCTTCAGTCACATGCTTCAGTATATTTCCATCACACATATTAAAGGCAGGTTCTTGCTTTTAACTCAGGGCCACATGGAAATTGCAGAGTTCATGTCCCCAACGTGTGAATCTTCAACATAATGAAGTGTTTGTGTGGTGAATGTCTATGGAGATTCTCAGTCATCCAGGTCATGATTGTCTCAACGGTGCTTTTGCAAAAGGCAACTGGACTTTGTTTTTCCTTGAAGATGTTTTGTTTCTCATCCAAGAAGCTTCATTGGTTCTGGCAGGAGTGTGTTTATGTGGTGGTGGTAGGATAGGAGATTTTGCTGCCACTCTATGAGATTCTATGCATACATACACATTGATGTACAGTCCTAGTGTTAGAAGTAATATATCACTGAATACCCATTGCTGGAAATAAAAGATGTAAGATAACATTGTACCTGTTGTCTTATGTTCTTGTTGATTTCTCAGAAGCATCTGAATGGCTTGGAGATCAGAATGCAGGAGGAAATAAGCCTTCAGCCAATATATCTTGAGGGTGAGCACAGTGGAAGAACTCTCTTCCCTTATATCTTCTCTTCTGCTTCTGCAGTGAGCATGAGGGTAGAGCCAACCCACGCTCAGGATAATGCTCAGGATAATGGATTAAGGAGCAGGAAATTTACTTATTTACTTCTTACATTTGTTACAAGAGAACAAGAACATTCAAGCATCCTGACCTCAGGCCTAGGAGCAAAGCCAAGTCTTAAGGGACATCTGGAACACTTGAAGAACATGTCCTTCCTCAAATGTGCTTATTGGTTTGCTTGTTATATGTATATTACATACAAGATGGCATGCATAGTACTTCCTCCTCTCTGACTTTTCTCCAGAAAAGTAACCTCATTTTTAATGATGGCCACTAATCCACACAACTGACATCCATAGCTGAAAATGAGCATAAATTGGCTCTCCCACAATAGTCCATCCCCGTAACCATTACACCACATTGGCATTGGCTTCTGCCATCCCCAATAGTCTCTTCTGCATTTTGTCTCTTCTTTTCTCTTGACCATCTTCCTCTCTGTATTTCTGTTTCTCTTGGTAACATAGAGGTCTATCCTGTTCTCAGCTATTCCCTTCTAGCATCTTATTATGCTTTGGGTTCTTCTTCTTATGGATCATTATTTTTCCTTTGGTTGAAGTGCTAAACCACTTCTCCTGATTCCTTCTGTTGGAAAGAAAATCCACCTGGTTCAGGTCCAAGGCAGAATAAAATAAAATGGAGGCTGATTGGAAAGAAAGTTTAATGATGAACAGGACCAACCGCAGTTCTGGGTCAGCTGAACCAATGGTTTGATGAGGTTGTGCAATGTCTGAAATGCCCCTAGGAGATTGTGCAATGTAGTGAGTTCTGTCTTCTGCTAAATAGTAGTGGATTAATCCTATTATGTCCTGAAAGGTCATGTCATGTTCTTCTTAATCCCATCATCCTGGAGCTGAAGGTCTTTTGTTTTGTAGATAGGATGGCCCAGTCTTTCTTAAGGGCACAAAATATCTGCTGGGGGGGGTGGGCTATTAAGAAAAAATGAGTCTGCTTGGGCATGTTTCTCCATTTCTCTCTTTGGGGAAATATAATATTCTGCCTTTTTAATATTTCCCAAAATATTTCCTTCTTCCAGCCTGGGAGGGAAGGGGGGGGGCTTCTCACAGTTCAATTATTTTAAGCTCACGGTTGATCAAGCTTCTCAGATTTTTCTTAAATTTAAAGAGATTAGAAATGGGATTCAATCTGCAGCCATCCCATAGTTGCTAGTCTGATCAAATTTTCAACCTCTGATTTTGATGTCATGCATTAGCACTTGTGGCTCTTCTAGACTTAAGCAGGGAACTGCATGAAGATGCAGGGAGCAAATCTATTGAGGTATCTGGGTACTGGCATCAACAATAGTTGATTGTGGGTTTGTATTATGTATTGTGTGATGGTAGCTAAATGTCGGCCATTTTTCAACTCTGCTTCTACTTCTAAATATTTTTATGATTTCTTAAAATAAAATTCATATTTCTGACTGCTGTTGATTACAACAATCCTGTTAAAGAGGAAAATAAATGTATGATAAGGTTATGCATCAAATTCTTTTCTTTACCATGGCATTAAAACTCTGAAATTCACATCTGAACTGAGGATGAGAGCTCTCACAATAGTAAAATTGCAGGTTCTACAAACAACCACTGCTCTCAACGGTCTTGTTTCAGCGTCAACAAACAATCCTGGGAATTGGAAGGAAGCTATAATTACAATCATCCTGCACTAGAGGATTGATAATCATAGAGGAGTACAATAATAGTCTGGTGTTTTTTTTTTTCAATGTTGAGTTTTTTCGGTCACCATAATATAAATACACATTCCCCTGGACTTTTTAAACATGTGGCAATTAAGTGTCTATTTGAAAAAAAATATCCAATTATATTGTTCAGTGAAAAATAACATTTAATGCATGCATAGCCATCTCAAATTGCCCTCCTGCTATGCTTTACAGAATCCATACTGTCATTAAAGGTCATGCTTTTGATGCAAATGTTGCTTAGGTAGGTGTGGGTAAGAATTATGCAGTGGTTTAATATTGGAGGCTTAAAGGTATTCATGAAAATAAATGTTGGTGTTTTCTTCATTCATGCAAATGGAAGAGGTTGTTCTCAGCTTCTTCCTTTTCACAGACTTGCCTTTTCTACTAAACAAAATGAGTTTTATGTGTACAGTTGTTCTGGCAAGGGTTTTATCTGGTTTGGATGTACTTTAACATTATACCAATTTGCTTTTTTTCCCTTCATTTTCATCATAATTCTCTTTCTTCAGCCACGAAATTGCCATTTTTATTTACTTAATGAACATGATTAAAGATTCATAGAAGGGCTTTTTGCATATCATTGCATCTCCTGCACAATTCAAGTTGTCTAATGCCCGATGTTTATATAGCTGTTCTTAAGTATTCAAAGTACTTTACGCATATTCTTATAATGAGATGATCATTTTACTCACTTTCCAATAATAGTGTCTATGAAGATTCTCGGTCATCTAGGTCATGGTTGTCCCAAAGGTGCTTTTTTCAAAAGACAACTGGACTTTCTTGTTTTTTCTTTGAAAACCTTTCACTTCTCATCCAAGAAGCTTCCTTAGGTCTGACTGGATGGTGGGGAAGGATTTCTTCCATTTTCCACCATCCAGTCAGAGCTGAAGCAGCTCCTTGGATGAGAAGCGAAACATCTTCAAAGAAAAGCAAGAAAGTCCAGTTGCCTCTTGAAAAAAAAAACACCTTTAGGATTTCCAGTAGGAGGTGGATGCTACAGCTGAAGCAGTAGATAAAAGGGACTTCAGCAGAAGTGAACATAAATGAGGAAATAATCCTTGTGGATCACTTGTGTTTACACAAGAAATGCTGTACAGTGTTGGTGGGAAGAATCACATCAGTTTATGACATGTCAGAAGTTCCCATTCCAGATGAAGGAGCAGACACTGAGACAGGAGAGGAGATTATTTTTGTCAAATATATTTATCTTTTGTGGAGGTTTAGTGATATTATACTATATATGTGGTATTGGATCATTTGAATTTTGTGTGCCTGTTTTGGAGCTTTGTTGGCAAATGCAGTCATACTGTTGACAGCTCTAATCATTGTTTTTTCTGTTTGGAAATTTCAAATGAATGACTAGAATTGTTTTTAGATACAGATAGCAATAGTTAGCCCTCCTTCCCCCCTTTTTTTAAGTTTCAAGCAACTCACTAAGTTATTTTTCCTTATATGTATATGTAGTTTCATTTCTTGAATATGGCTAAAACTCTTTCCTTGCATTCTGGTTAAAAACTGTAGTTGAAGTTTTTGGGTTAACAAGACCCTTTCCACCCTGATTTGACTGCCATTAAAGTCTTATGTAGAAAATTGGCCAGATCTATTAATCCTTACCTTTGTTACCTTTATGAAAAGAGAATGCATAGAGAAGAAAGCCAGAATTACCCCGCAGTTGCCTAGGTTGCAGAAAAGAGTTGTAGTGCTAAGCTATCTTATATTCATTCATCTTTTTTATTGAAGATGTTGTGAATTTTAAGAAAATTCCAAATACTTTGGATCCCTGAATTACTGAACTCTCAATAATCTCTATTCCAGACAATAATTACTTTTTTAAACACCCAGGTATTTAGATTTCCCCAATATATTTTTATTGTGTTCAAGCCTTATTCACACATTTCCTTCACACTGATCCAAATTAAGGTGTTATTATTTAATACCTAAAGGATACCCTTTTTTATTTCATATACATTAGTTTGTATTTGTTCTAGGATTTCAATTCTAGCCTCATATTTCCATAGTTATATGGAAATATCTTTTGGTAGTGGAAATAATACCATAATTGGAAGTAAACCTCTTATAGCTTTAAATAATCTCCATGACAAAGTGAGATTTCCTACTAGTACCCTTTAGATATACTGGGAGTCCAGATCCCAGAATCTCCAACTATATTTGTCTTACAAAAATTCTGGCTATTGTAGTGGTGACACATGTGGAGGGGATTTGAATGAAGAACTCTGATTTGGGTGTTGCAGGGTACCTGGCAATACTGTTCCAGGAAATCACTCATGCTAAGTACTCAGCAAAGCACTACTGTGTTTCTCAGTTCTAAACTTAACACGTATTTTCACATTGTTTTGCAAAATAATTGTAGGAAGCAAATTGATAAAAAGTTGGTGATACTTTTTTGTTTGTTTAAAAATCCATCAGGCACTAGTCTGAGCTTGGCAACTATTGATAATAAATGCAGACAGACTCTGCTTTTATACATGCAGCCTTCTTTTAGTATGAACATCCTTGGGAGCCCTTCATGGCCATGCAGAATGTGGCTTCCGACTTATGAAATAGTCTCATCATTGTGTCCTTTGGTGTCTTTCAGATTCCGACCTGAGCATGCGCACTCTGAGCACTCCCAGTCCTGCATTAATATGTCCACCAAATTCACACAGCTTGCACAATGGAAAAGAATCTTCTACATCTTCCTCTTCGGTCACCGGAGAGACCATTGCAATGGTTCACTCGCCTCCTTCCACTTGCCTCACCCACCCTTTCATTCATGCTGCCTCTCGACTTCAAAAAGAACAGGCCAATATCAACCGGCTTCCTGACCTTTCTGTGATCCAGATATTTTCTTTTTTGCCCACCAATCAGTTGTGCCGCTGTGCCCGTGTGTGCCGCCGCTGGTATAATCTTGCTTGGGACCCGCGACTTTGGAGGACTATCCGTCTGATGGGTGAGACAATCAACGTGGACAGGGCTCTGAAGGTGCTGACACGACGACTTTGCCAGGATACCCCAAATGTCTGTCTCATGCTGGAGACGGTAATTGTTAGTGGCTGCAGGCGGCTCACAGACCGAGGACTTTACACCATTGCTCAATGCTGCCCAGAACTGAGGCAACTGGAAGTGTCCGGTTGCTACAACATTTCCAATGAGGCGGTTTTTGATGTAGTATCCTTGTGTCCAAACTTGGAACATTTAGATGTATCAGGTAATGGAAAAAGTCTACATTTACACTCTGGCTGAAACTTTTTGGATAAAGCATGTGAAATTTAATGGAGAAAATATTCTCAATATTTTTTATCACAGTCTCGATAGTAACTTTTTCACTCTGTAACTAACATTTTTTACAATCTCTCTCTCTCTCTCTCTCTCTCTCTCTCTCTCTCTCTCTCTCTCTCTCTTTCTCGGCTGTTTGAAAAATAATAATATTATGGATTTCTCCAAATAATCTTCCATTCAAATCTCAATTTTAATCTTGCATTTAAAATTGTACTCTGTACCATTAAATACTTCAAAGGGTTTGTAATTGAGCATGAGTCTTTAAAGAGTGCCAGGTTTAGCGTGTCAGAACAACAAAGGTCCCTGCAACTCTTTAAACAGTCACATATTATTGCATAAGCATTTGTGGATCTCAGTCCATTTCATTATTTGTGACAGTACCAATGTATTAGTGTTTAGATGACACAACACTTTCCAAAAGAAAACAATGTGATGCTGTGGTTAAGATTTCTGAACTATGAGCAAAGAGATCCAAGTCTACCCATGGAAATTCACAGGACACATTAAGAGGGCCAATTATTTTTTCACAACCCAACTGAACCTCCAGATGAGTTGTTGGCAAATAGTGAAGAAGGGAATGCCCTATATGCTTCTGGGAGGTCTTGAGGACAGGCAGGATAAACCAACAAAAAGTTATTACTGTCCTTATGGAAATTCTTATGTGACCTGGGCTCACTTCAACAGGAATATCCAATTTATCCATTTAGTCTGCTTATAAAGAGAATAAGCAACTTTGATCATAGATTCCTTGTGTGTCCAATCACACTTGGCCAATAAAGTATTCTATTCTAGATTAATTTTCTGGGTTGGATGAAGTGGAAGGCAACATCAGCTAGGAGAGGTTTAAGCCGGTATACCACTTTTGACTTGCAAGTCAAAGAAAGGAAAAAGTTAAAAAAAAAAAAAAAAAAAAGGCAAGTCAGTAACAGTAAGCTTTGATCCTCCGGTCTCTATACTGTCCCAAAGACATGATAGGACCTCTCTAAAAGTGATTGTGTTTTCTTGCCACAAAGCTCTTTGCTATGTTTGTAGCCACAATCATAGTTGCTGAATTCACTTTCTCAGTGTGATGTTATTGGGAAGCAATGCTGCCCTCTGCTGAGAAAAATGCCCAAACTAGCAAGTGTGTGTGTGTATCTATGTGTGTCTGTGTGTGTCTCTCTCTGTGTGTGTAGAGATTAGATGATAGATAAACACAGACAGAAAGACACACACACACACACACACACACACAGGCACAAACATTCTTTCCCTCAACTCCTCCCCCCCTCCACCTACCCCAGATTATTTTAATGCATTTCAGCAACCTAGTTTCAGTCACTTGCCAATAGATCAATTCTGTATTTGCACAATTGCAGCTTCCTGAGTCTAGTTTAGTGCCGTATTATAGGGTAGAGAAAATTCAGCATTATATCCTAATGTAAAACACCATTTGTTTACTATTGATCCCCAAACCAGCAGTTCCTTCAGACTGTTTCATAAATAAAGCAAAAGCCCTTGCAGAAAAACAAGTAGGAAGTAAGAATATTTGTCATTAGGAGTTGTTGGAAGGGGAAAGAAATAAACTCATCTCACTGCCTGCAAGAACTTTGATTCAGAATGTCTTGAAATCTCACTTAATTGGTTTAGAAAGAATACAGGTATAGCAGCATAAAGCTCTCGGAACAAAGACTGTTTAAAGCCAGAAGAAAACACTATATGGTAAAAGGATTGCAAAATTTACAAAAAAAATTTACACAACAGACAGAATCTTTCCATAATCAGATATGGGACACAGACATTTTTATCCCTGGACAACGGTGTTTTCTAACATTGGAAAATGTTGTGAGTATACATGCATGCCTGTATGTAACAGATTTTAGGACATATTCATGGTACCAACAGATAGCTGACCTGTAAAATATTAATTACAGGCAGTCCTTGACTTATGACCACAGTTGAGCCCAACATTACTGTTGTTAAGTGAAACATTTGCTAAGTTTCCCCCCATCCATATGACTTTTCTTGCCACAGTTCTTAAGTGAATCACTGTAGTGGATAAGTTAGTAACATGGTTGTTAAGTGAAACTGGCTTCCCCGTTGATTTTGCTTGTCAAAAGGTTGCAAAAGGTGATCACATGACCTTGGGACACGGCAACAGTCAAAGTTATGAGCCAGTTGCCAAGCATCTGGATTTTAATCACATGATCCTGGGTCTGCTACAAAGGTCATAAGTGTGAAAAATGATTCTAAGTCACTTTTTTCAGTGTCGTAACTTTGAATGGTCACTAAGTAAATTGTTGTAAATTGAGGACTACCTGTATACATAGAGTTTTCTACAGAGAGCCAGTTTGGTGCAGCAGTTCAAGATGCTAGACTAGGAGCAGGGAGACTTGAGTTTGTCCTTAGGCACTGATGCCATGTGGGTGACTCTAAGCCAGGGCTATCAAACTTGTGGCTCCCAGGGTGGATGCATCATGCATTGGCCACACCCATGCCCAGTTTAGCAAAGGGGGAAAAAGTTGTGATACATCATGTGATGACCCTGTGACGACACGAGTTTGACATCCTGCTCTAAGCAATCGATTCTCACAACTCTACCTTGGGAAGTTGAAAAACATCCTTTAATAAAGTATTGACAATGTACTTTCAAAAAATCCTGCCAAGAAAACTGCATAGATCCATCCACATAGAGTTAGGGTTACAACGTGGAACAGAGTTTTTGCCAGCTGCCACCTTTCTGCATATTTGCCATTTTAAATTTCAAATATGTGGCTCTTACATCATGCAAAAAGATATTTATCAGGAAGCATGCGTTCTTTCATTCAGCAACTGGAACAAACATTCTGCTAAATAAGCAAACCTGGATGTGGTACGTAACTTTTCAGTGAAAGTATACAAAAGAATGTAAGAAACAAAGAGAGGAAGATAAATGGGAATAGAAGAATGCAGAATCTTTGGAGTGTATAGCTATAGTGTAATCATTATAAAAATATTCTATAAGGTATAGCTTGCACGTACATATTTCCAAGTGTCTGGGAAAAGTCCTTGGTTTCAGCTGGCTTTAACTCCCCAAATGTTTGGCGTAGAATAAAATGGGATTTTATAAAATGGGATTTTATTACTATTAACATGACAATTTATCTGTTAGAATATTTTGCAGGCCTCACGTGAGACCTAGTTTACTTTGAAAACTCATTGTGGAATCTTATGAATTATGCATCCTAGAAATTATACCATTATGTCAAAAACCACAGAAAAGTTGGATATCAGAGTTTCCAGAAAGGTCTCTCTCATTTTTCAGCAGAATGCCTATACAGATGGACTAGACTGTGACCCATTATCTCATAACTGGCCAAAGTTCATTCAGAGTTTCAAAGTTCCCTAAAACTTTCTCATTTTATTTAGATTCTTTTACATTTTCTCTATGGAAAGACTGTTGCCAAGAGCCTTTATGTTTTATTAGTATTAGTATTATTTTATTATTATTACTTCTATTCATTAAACATGAAATGCAGCCAACTGAACAGTTAAAAACACATCAAAAATATTGACTGGTGCTGATGGTTGACATGGGTCGCTGCCAGCATCCTAGTTTGTTGTTGTGATGATGATGATGACGACGACAACAATGATGATAATATAAAATGCTTCCAGACATAAGAGTAGGTAAATATATTAAACTACAGAATCTGTAAAAAGGATTGGGATAGACACGTTTAAATGGATTCAGAACATAACCAGCCCTGAATTCTGCAGTATCCATCAGGCAAGCATGATTTTACCTTCTGACTTTGCTTCAGGAAGTAACCAACCAACAGCCTGCAGACCACACAGACTGGAAAGCCAAACTTGGCATTACTATAGTCAGCCATTGCCATCTTCTATTAATTCCAGAAGGAGAAAAAGAGAAAGATTAGGAGGCAAATATAAATGTAAGTTTGGAGCATCAACTCTGGAACACATCAACTAAAGCAGCATGTTGTTATTGGAAAGACTTCATGCTTCATGAAGCTTTCACATGCTTTATTTCACATGCTTTCACATATGCTTCATGACTTTTACATGCTTTATGATTAAACTTCATGACTTTTACATGCTTTATGATTAAACTTCATGACTTTCACATGCTTTATGATTAAACTTGTAAGCATCGTTGCGAGTGTGCCTATTTACCATTTGGTCTGTTTCTCTGTTGTCTTCCTCTGGCAAAAATAGCAAGAAGGTTGCTGTGGTCCACAAGTGTCCAGTGAACTGACAACATTTTCATGGAGAATGAAAGAGAAACAACATTGGGGAACTAGAAGGAGGATGAAAAAGAGAGAGAGAGAAAAATAGGGAGAAGATTGAATAGATGGATGTATCTAACTAAATAAAGAATATAAAAAAGAGAAAACTCCATCAGATAATGATGATTATTATCATCCCCACCTCATGTGCTTTATTGTTTTAACTCCTAGTTTCTTTCCTACACCGCCTCATTTCTTTTTTGAATTAGTTAAGAGGAAATTGTGGGAAAGAAGCAGGAGGGATGGTTTGAAGTGGTGATTATATCTGAGAACTAAAACAAGTTGGAGGTGTTTTGACCAGACCCATTGTCAGAGTCTTGCTTTCAAGATATTGTCTCCGGGGACTTTAAAAAAGTTGTTCTTCCTTTCTCTTCCCTTTCCTGATGATGGCAAAAGTCAGTTTTATCATTAGCCCTATCGATCATCTGCACCTTCCTAAGAATATCAATAGCATGTGAACCAGACTTTTCATTTTCTCATTTTCATGGCCCAATGAATTATGTATAAGTAATAGCCAGTTTCTATATTTTTAGAGATTAATTTCTGGATAATAATAGCCCAGGACAGAAGTGAATTTTCTATCCATGCCATGCATCAGTTCCCACAATAAAGCATGAAGGAAGCTTTAAACAACTCAGGAATTCAGGTGTGATATTACCTAAAATTGATAGACATTAACTAGACATATTTCTTGAATATTGCCTGCAGTTTAACGAAGGAAATATTACATGATTTTATTTTAAAGTGTGACTCATTGGGTTATCTTTTCAAATATGTTTATCAGATTGCTCAGTGGTTCCTTTACTGGAAAAAGTGGGATAACGTTCAGATATGTATCTGTCTTGAAAATGCTCAGTGTTGAAATGTTAACACAGTCAAACATCAGCACAGGAAATATTTTATGACATTTCTGCTTTATGATGTTTACAGCATAATCCGTTTGATAAAATTTGCCAAATTTTAGTTCCATGGGAATAATTGGCCTCAGATTTTGGAGGCATTCTGTGAGTTAGCTCATTTGAGGTACTTTGATTCAAAATTTGTTGCCCTGTAATGCACCGTTTTGCTTAAAATTAGTTTAAGGTTACGGTAACAAGTGTATACAGGTAGTACTCGACTTACAACAGTTCATTTAGTGACTGTTCAAAGCTACAAGGGCACTGAAAAAAGTGACATGATTGGTTTTCACACTTATAACCTTTGTAGCATCCCCATGGTCATGTGATCAAAATGCAGATGCTTGGCATACCGACTCACACTTATGACCGTTGCAGTATTCCAAGGTCATGTGATCACCTTTTGCAACCTTTTGACAAGCAAAATCAATGGGGAAGCCAGATTCACTTAACAACCATCTAATAACTTATCAACTGCAGTGATTCACTTAACAATTGTGGCAAAAAAAGGTTGCAAAGTGGAGCCAAACTCACTTAACAAATGTCTCACTTATCAACAGAAATTTTGAGGTCAATTGTGGACATAACTCAAGGACTACCTGTAGTAGTATATAGTCTGAGTCACATCAGATTCGATCAAAATCTGGTAAGTTTTTCAAAGGCCTTTAAACTTTTTTTCAAAATATAATTTGGGTAATGTTGCTTAGCCTTTACCAACTACTGAATTTAGGCAGAATGTTGCTGGCTGACTGAGTAAGCACTAGTCGATCATTCCTGGGATGAAAATCCTATATTATTAAGTTTATTTATATAAAGGGGAGATGGACCATCTTTGTTAACAATTTCCACCGCCACCCTTTCCAATATAGGTTGTTCCAAAGTGACGTGCATCAGCTTATCCCGCGAAGTTTCCATCAAATTATCTCCTTTACACGGCAAACAGATTTCTATTCGCTACTTGGACATGAGTGACTGTTTTGTCCTTGAGGATGAAGGACTGCACACCATTGCCACCCACTGCACTCAGTTGACCCATCTCTATTTGCGCCGCTGCATCCGCATTACTGATGAAGGCCTCCGATACCTGATGATTTACTGCCCTTCCATCCGGGAGTTGAGCGTGAGTGACTGCCGCTTTGTCAGTGACTTTGGCATGCGCGAGATTGCAAAGCTGGAGTTCCGCCTGCGTTACCTCAGCATTGCCCACTGTGTCCGCATCACTGATGTCGGTCTCCGATACATTACTAAGTACTGCAGCAAGCTGCGTTACCTCAATGCGCGAGGCTGTGAAGGCATCACAGACCATGGAATAGAGTACCTGGCCAAAAATTGCACAAAACTCAAGTCACTGGACATTGGGAAATGCCCTCTGGTCTCTGACATTGGCTTGGAGTTTCTGGCTCTGAACTGCTTCAATTTGAAGCGACTGAGCCTGAAGTCATGCGAAAGTGTCACCGGACAAGGCCTGCAGATTGTAGCAGCCAATTGCTTTGACCTGCAAATGCTGAACGTTCAGGACTGTGAGATTTCAGTGGAAGCTTTGCGATTTGTTAAGCGCCATTGTAAGCGCTGCATTATAGAGCATACTAACCCTGCCTTTTTCTGAAGCAAGAGTCACACTTGGTGCTGAAACAAAAGATTAAAATTGTTTGTATGTACATATGCACAGTTTGTCCGCATATGCAACTGTGCCTTTCTTGTACCAGGAGTAGCAACATAGACTTTGGCCATCTACATTGGTCCATATATGATATCTTTTAGCAGCCTTACTCAACTCTTCAACTTCTGAAAACTGCATGGAGTCATCATTCTCTAGCCTTTCAGGTTATTGAGTGAGTGATATATATGTAGAGTTCAGAAATCCCAAGGCAAATAGCAAGTCTAAATTGGTTGTTGACGTCAAATATCATGGGATCCAATTCAGAGGAAGTTTAATTTTAACTCCTTGAAAACTTGTTGGAAAAGATAGTTATGAAAAATCTCTGTTGTTCTCTTTGGAACTTTGTCATGGCTATCCTTAGCTAAATTGGAATGATAAAAACCTACCCTCTTTTAAGACTGTGTTTGGTTTTACATATTTGTGCCATAATTATTGCAACAACAAAAAAGTTACCACCAAAGGGCAATACTTTTAGCACCTCTGCCGTTTCTAGCCATTGTAATTATGAAACTGTGAGAGATTAAGCACACATGTATTTTAATTGTGGTTCTCAGTTTTGAATGAGTTCCCTACCTTTCCTGCTCTCTGGTGCCTCTCAGGAATTCTAGTAAGAGTTTTTCTCTAATAGAAAAATGGCTGTAGGACACCTTCCTTCAGAGTGTCATAGCATATCCTGTTATTTAAAAGAAGCATATATTTAATCTAATCTATGACAATCCTTTATCTCAAAACATATATAGTAAAGGAGGCCACTTTTGACCCCCCAATCCCCCTTTGTGCCTCCCCGCCAAACTCTGATTGACCACGATTGCTGAAAAATGACATCACAGTTTCCTACTATGTTTGGGCTGGAAACAGATGAAGACTACTGTAAGCAATAAAGGAGAATATTTGTAGCTCAGGGTTGAAATGAGAGGTTCTTTGCACTCTCTGAGCTTGGTTATTTTCTTGCAGATATTTCCATTACCCAAATTAGGTAACATTGCTGATATTACCTAGTTTGGGTAATCAGATGTCTACAAGAAAACAACCAAGCTCAGACTACTGTAAGCCCTAAAACAAAAATATCTCCCTCCTACTTCCTCCCAAATCACAACCAACCTACAGATTATAATTAGGCCATATTCAGCTGCTTATAACAAAATGTGGTCATTGACATTAAGATCTGGAGGGCCTATGGCACAATGAAAGAATATTCATAAAGTCCACAATCACATGTGTGTGATTAATGGCAGTCACCTAATTCTATAGCATTTTTCCTTGGTTTATCATTCTAGAAACAAACCTCAATTAATGTTCAAAGGACTATCTATGGGAATCCTGTCATGACATAAATTTATTAGACTAAGCAACGTTAAATTGGAGCGAAATAACGTGTTTTCTCAATGATTATTCAAGAAAAAAAAACTTATTACAACTTATTATAAATATTGGGCACTTGTTAGATTTAACAAGAGAAAAAAATAATGCTAACTGAGAAAGGTACTCATCTGACACTTTCAGCTTAGTACTTAAATCCTCATAGATCCAAGAATGCAATAAATTGATATTAGTATTATAGAATAAGTTTTCCAATCAGTACATCCATCATATTGTTCTCAGTCTGATGAGACAATGAAAATTGTCCTGTTAGGAAGTCTGAGAATTGTTTTAGACTAGAGACCTTGCATACTAAGGAAATGTTTTAAAATATGTAACTTTCAGTGCTTTGAGATTTACCTGTATCCCTATTTCAGAGTTTTCCCTTCCCACCTCTCATCCCTGTGTCCTTTAATCTGAGTGCCTTTCAGATGTTTCACAATTCATGATGGATCCATGGAAAACCTTAAAATCCAGAAATATGTCAAAAGGGAAAAGAAGGTGATCATAGGTTATAGTCTCAGCTTCTAGACCAGAGAGCTCTGTTTATATACATTTTTGTAGCATCGATATTTTTTTTAAATGGGAAAGTTCTATTTTCAGAGTGCTAATACTGGTTCATTTTTCAGACCAATACTATAACCATTACATTCTTCCCAAATATTTCTGATATAATAATTAATTCAGTGTGTCTCCAAGCTCCATATGTATTTGGTCAAATCTGAGCAAAGGTTTTATATATTTGTGCAGAGACTCAGGCAATTTTATTTGTCATGGATAATGTTATAAAAATGCTACCATTTTTTCCATTTCTAAAGCACAGATGACTTTATGGATTCTAGCTGCTGTGCAAAAAAAGTCCAGGGATTAATAAAGCAAAGCAGAGAGCAGTTTATTATGTTAAATTTGGGGAAATATTACAATTATTAGAAACATTTAGAAAAAAAATAAATTTCTGTTATTCTTTTTTTTTTATTCTGACAGGAAAACAGGAAATCTGTATCCATAAATCTATAGGAATAATAGATTTCTCAAAGTTTCTGTAAGAAATAAGTTTTTCTCTAAGCCTTACTAGCATGATATATTTGGTATTTTTTGTAGAAGTAACAGCCATAATATGTTTGTTTCTCAAGGACAGAGGTATCTCATGCTGTTAAAAAAAAAATCATTTGGCTCACGTTCTAATATTCTTTCTCTCAGACCGAGCAATGTTTTCCAGACAGTAAAGCAATTAATTTTTAAAGCCATTTCCTTAGAGAACAGAGATTTAGGATACTCCATTGTCTAGTTAAAGAAGGCAAATTGAAAATGCAAGCCAATCTCTACTGCGTGTATGCCACACTGGGAAACACAAATACCAACTCCAAGCATCTTATAAGGTCATGAAAAGCTTTTTTGCAGGGATGTTCTGAAAACATGGTTCATATCCTCTAGTAGTGCAAGGCCAAAGCCTGAAAGGTGTGGGACCAAAGCCAAATGCTCTCCATGCACACATATCTCCTTCCCCGGACACCCTCATGTACAAAACACGTAGGAGCTATTGCAATCAGATTTGATAAATACCTCCTGTTGGAATAATGGAAAGTTTGCTTTCAAAGTACAATTGCAGAGTGTAGGAAGAATGTTCAGGGAGGCCCCAACAGTCAGCAGTTGCACTGAAATTCTGTACATCTGACCTGCAGCTTGGATCCACAAATCACAGGAAGCTGTAATGTGGTTTGTTTGATTTGAGCTTAGCCTATTATGGCAATACAGTTACGCAGTTTGACCTGCTATCACTAAGAAAGCATTCTTTTAGTTGCTGAAGATCAACAGATGTTAGGAAGCCTAAAATCATAGCAGAGTAAGCGTCGGTTGTCTCAAGAACCTGAAAGAATTGGAGAATGGCAATGTTGGACATAAATATTGAATTTTCGCTCTTAAAAGCCATGTTCCAAAATCAGGGGGGTTCACATATTTTAGCTTCATTGGTTCATCTTTGGGGAACCTCAGTGAAACTACCCCAGAACTCTACATGTCATAAGCCAGTGCAGCTTACATAAGAATGCAGAGTTAGGTTTTTTAGGGCCCTGACTAGGGGTGCAATTCAACCGGTATAACAACCGGTTCAGTGAGCACGTGCGTGCTCTGCATTTAAAAAAGCTAATACTTACCTTCAACTGCAGCTAAAGAAAACAGCTGAGGCATGGCAAACCGTTCTGTGCTCTAACAAAAAGACATAAAGCACAGGAAAGAGCGGGAGCGGGCGGGTGGGCCCACATGCTTGTCGGAGCAAACTGGTTGCTGATGGTCAGAACAAGGGGTTCACCCGAACCAGTCCTAACCAGGAGAATCCCATCCCTGGCCCTGACCAAGCATGTAACTGATCTGTACTTTTTTACCCACATAAGTTTGTTTCACACAACATACTAATCCATACTGTGGTTGTTGTTTTTTGACTTTGCACGTTGTAACAACTCAGACATAGTGTTTTATTCAATAAATCAGGTCAGAACCACAGAAAAATTCAACATGGGAATAACCTAAATAACTCTCCTTTAAGTTGTTCATCATAAGAGAAGCATCTTGAATTTTAGAGAAGTTGTCACCTTTATTCTGAATTACTGAAATACCCTAAAATGTCATAGCTTATCTCCAAAGTGTAAATACAATACTTAAACATTGTCTTTTAAAAGTATTTTCGTCTTATTGTAATCACATTTTTCCTGTGCAAAAGTTTTCACAATTTCTATCTGAAGAGGCAGGCTGTAATATGAAGCTCGGCAAGACTGGTTGTATCTTCATATGGACTTCCTCATATATGACTAACAACTGGTTTATGAGAATTACTGAAAACATCTCTTGAATAGAACTGTAGGACGGGAATCCCCCTGTCTGGTTTTCATTTTTTTAAAAAAAAAAACTTAACTAGAGTGTCTCCAGATGTGGAACAAACATACAGAAAAACATTCACATCCTAAGGAACAAACAGAAATGCACATCATTAGTAACAACTCTCATTTTTTCAAACCCTTTTAAAATGACAAGTGAGAATGTTAAAAATTGTTTTCACTTTTTATTAAATGAATCAGACAAGTAAACAATCCTTATATATTGCAATAGCAAGTATGCTACAATATTCAGATGTGTTAAACTGCAATGCCAACCAACTTGACCAAGGCAAATAAGGTATTGGTTTTGATCATCATCTAAAGAGCCATAGATTGTCCATCTTGTGTTTACTGTATAGACTTTTTATACATATATAAATGTCTTCTTAGACCAGTGTTTTTCACCCTTAGCAATTTTGAGATGAGTGGACTTCAACTCCCGGAATTCCCCAGCCAAAATACTGGCTAGGGAATTCTAGAACAGTTGAAGTCCTCACGTCTTAAATTGTTGAAGTTGAGGAACATTTTCTTAAGATACATATCCAAAATACTATTGCCTCTCACTAAAGAATACATTCAGTTTTTTAATATATATTGAGTATTTACATCAAGCAATAATAATGGTAGAACTCTGCTGTAATCCTAGAGCAAATTTTGAGAAACAACACTATTAATAGCCATTTAATTTCCCTCTTTTTTCATTTATGGGTTGATTATTTTGTACAATATTACCCTTGCCCAAAATAGTCTTCACTATTCTTTGCTCACAGAAAGGATAGATACAAATTTAAATTGTGATTTGTGTCTTGAGGAAAACTAATTGTGATCTGAACAAGGCTTTTTTTTTTCAAGGTTTCAAACAAGATTGAAGGATGCTTTTAAAAAAAATCTTTTTGAAGTAATTTGGTTTGCTGATTAAGTTACAAGGAAAAAAATAACACTACTTGATTCCTAAAGGGAGTTAATATGTAGACTGGCTTTTATTGTGATTTCCTATAAAGCCTTAATTCACAACTAGCAAGAAATAAATTAGAATATTAGTATAATGCCTTGATTGATCAATGAGTAAAATACAACTCTTTATACAAATGGGGACAACGTCTCACTTTAAGACATGCTTCATTTTACATAAAAAAGGCAAGGAAGTGGCAGAAAAATGTGATGTGTGTTGTACATTCCAGATGGCGGGACAACATCCCTA